GCAGAGACAGCAGCCGCCGCAGCAGCAGCAGAGACAGCAGCCGCCGCCGCAGCAGCAGAGACAGCAGCCACCGCAGCAGAGACAGCAGCCGCCGCAGCAGAGACAGCCGCAGCAGCAGCAGAGACAGCAGAAGCCGCAGCAACAGCAGAGACAGCAGCAGCAGAGACAGCAGAAGCCGCAGCAACAGCAGAGACAGCAGCAGCAGAAGCCACAGCAGCAGCAGAAGTCGCAGCAGCAGCAGAAGTCGCAGCAGAGGCAGCAGCAACCTTTGCAGCCTAGAGGTTTTCCTGCTTCACAACCAGTACCTCTACTTTCGGTCATCCCTATTCATCCTCCTCAGCCAATTCCAAGCCTGTATGATACTACACCTCGTACGTTGGTGCCACCTTCCAAGATGCAGTTTCCAGCAAAGACGAGGAGGTCCAGTCTTAAGCTGACACCAGCAACGATGCAAGACTACGCTGCGATGACACCCCAGACATTTCCACATACCTGTTGTCTTTGTAACAAAGCATGTGCCGCGATGAAGGTGAGTGTAAAACTGCACTTTGTTCTCACTACATTTAGGACATTGGAAGGTTTTTTTTTCCATTTAGCCTTTATTTGTCCAGGTAGTCTCATTGAGCCACGAGAACTCATTTTCAAGAGAGACCTGTTTAGGAAGCAGGTGGAGGTTAAGGGCCTTGCTCATGGGCCCAGAGTGGGACGAATGGGGGTGGGAGCAGTTGTGGGTGCTTTGCCTACCCCACCCACATTTTTGATGTTGTCGGTACCGGGGCTTGAACCGGCGATCTTCCGATCACAGGCCCACCTTCTCTAACCTCTGCGCCACCACTCCCCAATAGTGGGAGACAATGGACAACTGGACAATTTTTGTGCTCTTCGTTGTAGAATAAAAATGCATTTTGTTTTTGTCTTGTATAATTCCAGCATGTTATTAATTTTTAACACTTTTAGCCATTTAATTTTTTAAGATAAACTTGGTCAGGACAGTGTAAAAGTGGTTAATACTATTGTCTCACAGCAAGAAGGTCATGGGTTTAAGCCCTGGGTTAGGCCTGGTATTCTTCAGTGTGGAGTTTACATGTTCTGTTTGCACTGAATTTCTCCAGGTCCTCTGGTTTCCACCCACAGTCTAAAAAGAAAGCTACTAGTCTTAAAATTAGAATATCCTGAAAAAGTTGATTTATTTCAGTTATTCCGTTCATTCCATTATATTCATTCATTACACACAGACTGATATATTTCAAATGTTTATTTCTTTTAAGGTTGATGATTATAACTGACAACTAATGAAAATTCAATAGCTCAGAAAATTAGAAAATTACTTAAGACCAATTAAAAAAAGGATTTTTAGAAATGTTAGCCAACTGAAAAGTATGAGCATGTACATCGCTCAATACTTGGGGCTCCTTTTGCCTGGATTACTGCAGTAATGCGGCGTGGCATGGAGTCTGTGGCACTGCTCATGTGTTATGAGAGTCCAGGTTGCTCTGATAGTGGCCTTCAGCTCTTCTGAATTGTTGGTCAGAAGCATGAAGCATGAAGTCTCTAAAACTTTCTGGTAGACGGCTGCGTTGACCTTGGACCTCAGAAAACACAGTGGACCAACACCAGCAGATGACATGACACCCCATACCATCACTGACTGGAAACGTGACACTGGACCTCAAGCAACGTGGATTCTGTGCCTCATCTTTTCCTCCAGACTCTGGGACCTTGATTTCCAAAGGAAATGCAAAATTTACTGCAATCAGAGAACATAACTTTGGACCACTCAGCAGCAGTCCCAGGCGAGACGCTTCTGACGCTGGCTCTTGTTCAAGAGTGTCTTGACACAAGGAATGTGACAGCTGAACCCCATGTCTTGCATACGTTTGTGCGTGGTGGTTCTTGAAGCACCGACTCCAGCTGCAGTCCACTCTTTGTGAATCTCCCCCACAATTTGGAATGGGTTTTGTTTCACAATCCTCCAGGATGTTATCCCTATTACACACTTTTTTTCTACCACATCTTTTCCTTCCCTTCACCTCTCCATTAATGTGCTTGGACACAGAGCTCTGTGAACAGCCAGCCTCTTTAGCAATGATGTTTTGTGTCTTGCCCTCCTTGTGCAAGGTGTCAGTGGCCATCTTTTGGACAACTGTTAAGTCAGCAGTCTTCCCCATGATTGTGTAGCTGCAGAACTAGACTGAGACCATTTAAAGGCCTTTGCAGGTGATTTGAGTTAATTAGCTGATTAGACTGTGGCACCAGGTGTTTTCAATATTGAGCCTTTTCACAATATTCTAATTTTCTGAGATACTGAATTTGGTTTTTGTTAGTTGTCAGTTAAAATCATCAACATTAAAAGAAACAGACGTTTGAAATATATCAGTCTGTGTGTAATGAATGAATATAATATACAAGTTTCACTTTTTGAAAGGAATTACTGAAATAAATAAACTTTTACATGGTATTTAAATTTTACGACCAGCTTGTTAGGCTGTCTTCAGACCCAGGCATCCCTTGGAAAAAGAGATCTGTGATCTCAGGGGGATTTGCCTGCTTAAATAAAGGTTAATAAATAAATGCTTTTTCCGCATCCGGAAAAACCGTTTTGATGAAACATGAATGACTGTGGATTTTAAATGTGGGAAATTATTCTTTAACTCATTAGACAAACTGAACTGATTTAAATACTTGTCTACATTTTAAAGCAGGGATACAGAGTTTTCAACCAACTTGAAACAAAAATTGTGTCTTTAGATTATTAATCGGCATATCATGAACATTGTCACACAGTGACTGTTACACAACTATGTAAAATGATGAAAAGACATCATTTGAGTTAAAGATTGGAACCAAATGGCTCAAAGGACATGATGTGGAACCAACTGGACACCCGATGAATCTGGCTGATGGATTATCTTTAGTTCCTGTAAAAAAAAAAATTGTGTTTAAATCTAAGCTTTGTTCTACTTTAACCTTGATCATTGTTGGTTCAGTTTGATCATCTTCTAACTAAAAGTTGGTAGGTGTCCCTTTTTATTTAACAGTGCTAGCCTTTTTTATTGCGCTCGTTTTGTTTTTAATTACTGTGTTTTTAAGTTCTTAATATAAGCTACACAGACTTTTTTTCTTGGGGTCGAGGGTGAGGTTCTGCTTCAAGTGGAGGAGTTAAAGTATCTCAGGGTTTTGTTCTCGATTGAGGGAAGAATGGAGCCTGAGATTGACAAAGATGAATTAGTTCAGTGTCTGCAGTATTGCAGACTCTGTACCGGTCCATTGTGGTGAAGAGGGAGCTGAGCTTTAAGGCAAATCTCTCCATTTACTCGTTGGTCTTCGTTCCTCCCCTCACCTATGGTCATGAACTCTGGCCGAAAGAATGAGATCTTGGATCCAGGAGGTTGAAATGAGTTTCCTCTGCAGGGTAGCTGGACTCTCCCTTAGAGACAGGGTGAGAAGTTATCAGGAGAGACTCGGAGTAGAACCACTCTCCTCCACATCGAAAGGAGCCAGTTGAGTGGTTAGGCCATCTGGTAAGGATGCTTCCTGGGCACCTCCCTAGGGAGGTGCTTCAGGCATGTCCGACTGGGAGGAGACCCTGAGGAAGACCTAGGACATGCTGGAGAGACCGTGTCTCTCGGTTGACCTGGCAACACCTTGGAGTCCTCCCAGAAGAGGTGGCTGTGGAAGGAGATGTCTGGACCTCTCTGCTCAAGCTGCTGCCCCCGAGACCCGACTTCAGAACAAGTGGAAGATGATGGATGGATTACATTTTCCATTTTGACTCTTCAAAATGGAAAAGCTTCCTTGTACTTTTCCCTGATTTACACATCCAACCTTCATCTGTAATTTCTTCTTTGTTGTGTTCGTGTTTTTTATTTTTCCCTGATCCAAACCTGACCTCACTCTGGATGACCCTCGGCTACACAGAAAATACTCAAAACCTGGAGGAGAGCTTAAGATCCAGAATCGGGAGCTTCCTGACTCCAAGAGGACATTTTCAGCTTGTTACGGCTTTGTTACTATTCCATTAGTTTTAATACGTGATCAAGATTTGTTACCTTTAACTTGAGATGTCAAATACTGTTTCTAAATGTTGTTTTTGTTACATTTTGGACTACGTGGGTTTGAAAGCTTTCCTGTCCATTTCAGACATTTGTTTTTCTTTTTAGCAGAACTGTCCATAACGGTTTAATATCTTAAACTTGATTCACAATGAGCAACAATGTTGGACAATGTTTAAATGTGTCAGAATTTTTTCTGGAAGTTCCATGTTCTGGTTCGATGAAAGTCGGGCCTTTTTTTAAACATTGTTTGTTTTGAATAGGATTGGCTTTTCCACCAAAATTCCAGCTTGCATCTCGAGAACTGCAAACTGCTGACACAGTGAGTTTTTTCTTTTTTAACTTTGTTTTCAAACGTCACAGTTTTAAACCAACATCTTTGAGTGGGAGTTGTATATAAATGCTCTTTAGAAATTCTAACCCTGACTTGACTTTAAGCGTGTGGTGATTCATTGAGCGTACGTAGAAGCTTCACACTAGGTGTCACCATTACAAAACAAACTTTTCTTTTTGCAAAATTGGTTAAAACATTAATTATGTCCTCTTCTTGTTTATAGCTTTAAAAAAACAATACACAGAGAAATGGATTTAGAGTAAAGTCAGAGATTTATTGAGCTTGTGATGAAGTTAAAACTGGTTTCTAACAAAGTCAAGTCAGGTCCTCTGGACGTTTTTTTTCTTTTTTGTTGAAACATTTAGTCTTTCGTCCAGAAGACGTATCAGTTGGAGGAGTCACAACAAACTCAGTCTTATAAATAGCATCCTCACATGGTGGGTCAACCAGTTTGACGGTGCTCAGATGGTTTCGGGAGTCCGCCCTGTCCTCCAACTCGTTTTAGGCACTCGTGGCCAAAGTGGTTCAAAGATATCCAGTTTTGAACCACTTTGGCCATGACTGCCTCAAATGAGTCGGCGGGGGAGAGGATGGACTCCAGCAACCATCTTATCACCATCAAACTACTGGTTGACTCCCTATGTGAAGGTGCTATTTATAAGACCGAGTTTGTTGTGACTCCTCGGACTGATGAAGTCTTTTGGATGAAAGACGAAATATTTCAACAAAAAGAAACCGTCCAGAGGACCTGACTTGACTTTGTTGGATTTTCTACTTGGATTATTGAGCTTGAATCAAGATGTTGAAACTGGTTTTGTTCGTGTCCTTACGCAGTCTTGACCAGTATGGAATCTGAATGTATCAACTCTGAGAGCTGCTGTGGTTTTTTCCCATTGATTTCTCGCTCTTCATTGGTGGCTGTGGTAGCTCAGTGGTCAGTGCTTGTAATCCTGACTCCTGAGGCCGCATGTTTGAGCTCAGGTTGTGTCAGGTAAGGGATCTGGCGTGAATACAAATGCCACGTCTTTCATGCAAAGGTGCTCGCTACAGCATCCCCTGCAGATTAAAGTAAGAAAGACCAAACATTGGTCCTACGATCGTTGGCGATCTGTGGCCATGTGAGGACTTTCGTATTGATGCCCATATTTCTTTAATAAAGTCTCAAGGAACAAGGCTGTTGACAAGTTGTAAGTTTCTGTCTTATGCAAAAACATTTTATCAAAAATGTGAAAGGTTATGCTTATTACTTTTTCCACAGACACCCAAACTGGAATGATGAGAAGGTGTTATCGAGGTAAGTCTCTCAGTCCTTCAAAAAATAGCATTTCTACGATTCCATCCAAGGGATTTTCCTGTTTTTGTTTCATCCATATTTGCATTTCATTGTATTTTTATGTGTGGAGGGTATTTTTTTTAATTATTATTGAGCTTAGTTCAAAAAGCCTAACCAAGGTCTAGGTTAGCAAATTAACCTTTGGTTAGACAAAGCAATAGTGGCTTTGTTTAAACTTGCAGCATTGTTTCTTGCGTGGTCCATGTCAAATATGCTTAAAAAACATTACAGCTGTGACTTTTCAACCTCTTTTGTAACTGAACTCTGCTTTTCTCGATGTCTCTCTTTTAAGCGCTCCAAGTAAAAATGCCCAGCTCTCGTCTTCAACGTCTGCCCAGAATCGTCACCAGAAATCCAGACATGACAGCCCTTCCCGCTCACACAGTCCTCTCCGCCAACATGGCTCAGAGGAAAGAAGGGATAAACGGTTTGGTCGTTCCCGTTCACGCAGTCCATGCTATGATAGAAGACAGAGGCACAGTAGCTCTTCTCGCAGTCCGCATCAACGCCGTACCTCTGAAAATAGACGAGACCGGCATGGCAACAGATCACAGTCGCCATATGGAGCGAGGCAGTCTCACAGGTCTGTAAAACCACATTTACTTCATGGGAAACGTACAAACCAGAAATGATCGTATACCCATTGTTAAATACCAAAGGAACAGAATGTTAACTTTGTCGTAGCCTTTTCATCTGAAGTACTTTTCTTTTCAATCAAAAGTTTTACGAGTTTGTCGGTCAGGTCCTCTGGATGGAAGAATCCGTCCAGAGGACCTGACTCAACCTTGTTAGATGGTTCTGCCTGGATTATTGAGCATGAATCAGGATAAGTTGTAAATTATTGGATCATTATCTCCTTTAGGGCTCTGCCTCGGTCCCTCTCCCCACAGCATGGCCGGCCTACCGCCTCCCGTTACCGTTCACGTTCGAGGAGTTTCGAGAGACAATCTCTACCCGGTAAAGAGAAATGGTCGCCACCAAGGAGGAGCCACGAGCACCGATCGCCTCTAAGGAGAAGCATTGACAAACGCTCCTCGCCCAGGAGAAATCATGAAAAGCGATCCTCTACGGATAAGACTCAGCAAAGGTCAACAAGCTCAGAGAGACTGGCTAAGAAACTACTGGAAACACCAGGTTTGCCAACTTGTAGACGTATTACCTTTAAAATATGACACATAGTAAAAAGACAAGTTTCTCAGAGTTCATGGTGATAGAATCGTTTTTACTGCTGTGAAATTTAAAGGAGCCGGTTTCAACTGTCGTCAATGTGTTTGTCAATGGAAAAACTTCTTAAATGAGAGACGTCATTGCTTGCTGTTCATCTTTTATCTTACCAAGCAGCTTCAAGAGTGCGTTTTGTTTTCAGACACTTGTAACCGCAACGTTTTTGTATCTTCTTTCTTCTAGCTGTCCAGTCTCTGTCCAGAGAGTCTGACTTGGCGACTGTGGTTAAGACACTCGCCCCCGCTTTGCTGGCTGAGCTGAATAAGTTGCAATCATCTTCTTCGTCTGCTTTGTCATCAACGTCCTCTAAAGTGGCAAGGAAGCCTCATTCGACCAAAACGAGGCCCAGCCTTCCAAAGAGCAGTTCTTCAACAAAACCTACGGTTGGTTTATTTGATCACAAAAGTAGCACATGGAGCTCATTTTATTTTTATTTTCTTTTAAAACAAACACAGATTAAAAATCGAAAACGTCTGGTCGCTTTATTATAAGATTCCCTAACAATACTGTGAACAGTTGTACAGCTGCTGGTCATAAAATTAGAATATCTTGAAAAAGTTTATTTCAGTAATTCCATTCAAAAAGTGAAACTTGTAAATTATATTAATTCATTACACACAGACTGATATATTTCAAATGTTTATTCCTTTTAATGTTGATGATTATAATTGACATCTAATGAAAACCACAAATTCAGTATCTCAGAAAATTAGAATATTGTGAAAAGGTTCAATATTGAAAATACCTGGTGCCACACTCTGATCAGCTAATTAACTCAAATCACCTGAAAAGGCCTTTAAATGGTCTCAGTCTAGTTCTGCAGCTACACAATCATGGGGAAGACTGCTGACTGGACAGTTGTCCAAAATACTGCCATTGACACCTTGCACAAGGAGGACAAGACACAAAAGGTATTTGCTAAAAAGGCTGGCTGTTCACAGAGCTCTGTGTTCAAGCACATTAATGAAGAGGTGAAGGGAAGGAAAAGATGTGGTAGAAAAAAGTGTACAAGTAATAAAGGGATAACCTCATCCTGGAGAGGATGGTGAAACAAAACCCATTCCAAAATGTGGTAAGCGAGATTCACAAAGAGTGGACTGCAGCTGGAGTCAGTGCTTCAAGAACCACCACGCACAGACTTATGCAAGACATGGGTTTCAGCTGTCGCATTCCTTGTATCAAGCCACAAATGACAGAGACAGTATCAGAAGCGTCTCGCCTGGGACTGCTGCTGAGTGGTCCAAAGTTATGTTCTCTG